AAATGTCCGAAGCAAAAAATTCCGCTCTGGTAGCTAAAAATTACCTCATATCACCTTATTTTGCGACTTAGCCCCTGTCACTTAAATTATCAATGTAGGCCTATGGATCATAGATATTTTTATACCATCTTCATAATTTTCATTGTAATCATCATCACTTTTATTTATCAACATTTTATGTAAATGCTGTAAAACCTTCAACAAGCCCTGTGTAGTGGCATAGTTACCAACTGTCTGGCATTATGCTGGACGGCCCCAGGTCATTCTTCGCTAATGTGCCATTTTAGAGGTTTAGAAATCATGAAAAAAAAAGTTTAACATTTGTAATTCTTTTATTACACATGTCATCATTATGCCATATAACAACTATAATAAACATTCGGCACGATAATTAGGGCATTTTAAACGTTTATTTAAGCATTCAATTTTCAGTGCTGTAACATAGCAAATATTGCAAGAATCATCTTTATCACACCTTTTGTGACGGAGATGATGATATACATATAGATGTGAATCTTAGTAAATTTAAAAGATAGATTGTATTATTTAAATATAGGATAATGCACATTGAACAAACAAGTTTCTAACAACATAAGTCGTATCAATTACCATTTTTATTTTATAGCTGTTTCTGAGAAAAGAAAACATCAAGAAATCATCTCCATCACACTTTGTTGTGACGGAGATGATGATATACTCATAAACGTGAATCTTAGTAAATTTAAAAGATAGATTATATAGAAAAATAAACATTGAGCAAAAAGGTTTCTAACAACATAAACCAGATCAAATATAATTGTTATTATATATTCTTTTTTGAGGAAAGAAAACATCAAGAAGTCATCTCCATCACAGTAAAATTGTGATGGAAATGACTGTGACGGAGATGAGGAATTAAACTTGATCTTATAGTGCCATATGCAGTGTGTTACAGGGGGAATGTCATGTGTACTTTGAAAATGACACAGTTTTGATCATATATATAATTATTTTTTTCTAAAAAAAATTATAAATAAAGGATACTCTGAAGCGTTCGGAGATAATGCTGAATAAAGGTACTTTCCTAGTTGTTATTAGAAAAGCATGAATTCTTCAGCTATAGGTGGTTTAACTGTACAAGAATGGACTGTTTCTTACTGTATGGTCCCCTTCAACCAAAATGGTTTGATCCATAATTTGTTATGTCATTTTGCTAACAGCTATAATGGCATTTTAAAGTATTGTGACGGAGATGATGACAATTCAGGGACAAACTTTTTTAGTCTAAAAAAGTCAAATTTTAAATATTTATAGATCTATTGATGTCATTTTTAATTTTAAATTTGTAAGACATCTATTGTATCTTTTTTGTGGTACAGTTATTTATTTAAGCTATTTATTTTACAAATTATGACATTAGGAATTCTTAAGAAATCCAATTGGGACATGCATAGTGCACGACTTTGGAGGCTTTTGGTTGAAAAATAAACAACATGTTGATTACTTTTAAAATATTTAACAACTTATTTCATTAACAAATATGTTCAAGATTTCATTAATGC